ATTTTGGGCGGTGGGGGTGGGGTTCGAGTGAGGGAAACCTTTTCTAAAGCCCTTCTTTGTGAATTAATGTTTTGCTCCTCGCTCACTTGAACAAGGAGGGAGACTGTCCTTACTTTTAGTCATCATTTGATGAGTCACTAGAGGATGTAATAAGATAATATTCATCAAATGAATACCCAGAGTCGTACTCATCACCGAAAGTAAATTCTTTGTGCTCTTAACGAGCATCCTCTAACTTAAACTCTTCATGAGAAAGGACTAGGAGGAAAACATAGGTATATCATTTCAATATTTTGATGAGTGGATTCAATATTAATCGAATTATCAGTAGGGACTCTAGGGTTACTCAATATAAGAAATTTCTAGTCAACTTTATCTCTTGCTTTATGGGGATATCAAAGATAATAAACCAGGCTCACCTGTTTTGCTAAAATGAAAGTATCAAATTTAGCTTACCTTCCGCTCACCTTCACTTCTACAATATTATATTGTTGGTTGAGCCTTGTTCCTTGATAAGGAAATGGATCAAACCAATCATAGTTGAATAGGAATACACTTCCTCCAATTGAGCCAGGATAAGATAGTTCAACAACATCTTTGGGAATCCTAAAGAAATATATCTCATCGTTTGATTTCTTATTTTCTTCAGCACAATATCTAAAGTTACTTTTTTTTTTCTTTAGACTAAGATCTCTTATGAAACTTGTAATCATTCACATCATAAAATTGCAAGATTTTTATGATATGCATAGGTCCCCAAGAAAGATCTTTCAGGCTTTGATGTGTTACTCCATTTTTCCAATCATAAATCTATTAATACAGAAGAAATCAAGTGTTAATGAAAATTCACATGTGAGATGAGTTAAAAATTTTCCAATTCTAACTCACATTATAAATCATTAGGGGGGAATTATTCTAGGTCTCCTTACTAATGATATCGCCTTCAACTGAACATAATGAAGTCATGAATAAATTGTTCATACAATGAAATAATTACTCTGGTACTACCTCATCATAATATTTTCACCTGAAAGAGCGAACAACAATAATAAAAAATGTCTTACTTAAGAAGTGGCTAAATTTTATTGCAATTGAATGAACTTAAAGTGCCACTAATCAAAGTTCATGTTCACTAAGATAACATGATGTGCACATCTCCGACACTTCACCTAACTACCAAAAAAATAAAAAATGTTGAAGGAGGCACTACACTCACTAACTCTTTCATGGAATTTTCTTGCCCAAAATAATATGAGTCAAATGTTGCAGTCTCTTGCAATAAATATGCCTCACATATCAATTCTTCTGGTCACCTCATATTCTTTGCAGTTATCTTCAGTTTATTCAAAAATT